GCAGGTTTCAGGCTTGGCAGAGCCATTTCGGTCGACCAAAATGGTGCATCGGTCGACTGATTCTCTTGCATGCTCTCTGGATCTCCATTTTGGTTGACCGAAATAGGGTTCGGTTGACCGAACCTTTCATATGCTCTCAGTATCTCACCTTCGATCGACCGAAGGGTCATTTCGGTCGACCGGTTCTTGAAGGCCTGCTTCGACCGACTGAAGCTCCACTTCTGTTGACCGAAGTGCGCCTGCTTTGGGTTCTTTGCTCTTTCCTCTTCGATATCCCAATTGAAACCTTTGGGTATTATGTTGAAGCCTAATGACGACCTAGGGATGATCCTAAGGGTGATGTTGTGACATTTGAAATGATGGGTTTGACATAGATGACCTCGGGTTCGAGTAAGGACCCGGCTAACGGTTCGGACCTCCGGGTTCGGGTCGTTACAAGGCCCACTATTTTTTTTTTTTCTTTTAAATGGTCAAGAGACCATTACTGGCCTCACTTTTCTCTCTCAATCTCACGGCTATCTTTCTTTTCTTTCTTCTTTTTCTTTTTTCTTTCATCATCTTAAATCCTTGATTTCTTTCTCATTACTTGAAATTTTTGAGTGTCGTTTGCGGCAATTTGAAGAGCTCGGTGAGATTTTCAAGTCTATGTAAGCAATTTAAGCTTTTGGCCATTCTAAGAATTCCAAAAATTTGGACCCATTTGAGGGTTTTTTACAAAATTGGGGTAGGGGTATTTAATCCATAACTTCTTGGATTTTAGTGAATTATTTTTCATGTGTTGTTGTCTAGCATGCTATAATTATGATGAATTTTCTTCATTATGATTCATTTGTTGTATATGAAAATTATAATTATGTGTATTGTTGTTGTTGTGTGAGAAAAACATGCCTAATGTTTAAATTCCATACCTTTGGTGCTTATTAATTTGCTAGAAATTGTTATGTGAAAGTATGTTGAATTGTGTAATATAAAATATTTTATTGTCATTACATTGGAAAAGTATGTGATGTTTATGTATGACATTGGACATAAAAAGGGGAAAAATTTGATTGGAAATGGAAAATTATTTTTGAAAGAAACAAAAGAAAATATTTTGGGAAAGGTTTTTGATGGAAAGTTTGCGAAAACCCGGTCGCCTAGGAGATTGCCTATGGGTCCGTGGCGTTAATGTGCCCTAGAGAGAATTAGGAAGACTACCTTAGCGTGGTTGAGTTAATTGGGCCCCAAATGATGCCCTGGAGCTTGCCTTGTGGTCAGGGACAGTTAGTCAATCCTTCCCTCGTGCCGCCATAGAGCTGCCATGGGACATGTTACATTAACTGTGACGTTTCCGATTTTCACCATTTTAATTTTTTAGCAATTTTGTCGCCGTAAGGGCATTTTCGTCTTTTCACGTTATGAGTATGGGATTGTGGTTGGGTCCATTTGCATTGTGTACATTTTAAATTATGTGGATTGAGTAGTTTTTGTTTTTGTTTTTTTTTTTTTTTTTGCATGTGGTGCACTCGTGCGTGTATGTGGTGTAAAATTGAAGCAAAAAGAAAAAGGAAAAAGAAAAGAAATAGTGTACGGGACCCACCACCATCCCAAATTTGAGTTAGAGACCATATTTTTGGTCTCTTACTTTTCTCTTTCCCGTGCGTCTCTCTCTCTCCATCTTGATCCTTGTTTTTCTTTTTCATTTTGGTTTCCAATCTTAGAAACAAGATAACTCACTCAATACTTGGAGAAATTGAGAGCCGTTTGCGGCAAAATGAAGAGCACGAAGAGCTCTACGCATTCATATGAGCAATTTCAGATTTGGTGCCCTCCTTGATTTTCGAATTCCTTGACCCATTTCAAGGGTTTTGTGTCAATTTGAGGTAGGGGCTCTTAATCCACGAAGTTCTTGCGCTTTAGTGAATTAATCTACTTGAATTGTGCCTTAGCATGCTTAATTGCTTTGATTTTAGTTTAACATTACTTAATTGAGAATATGTGAATTTGAATGAATATGTGTTAACTTGATTGTATATAGAAGCATGCTATATGTTGAGCTATGTGTTCATTGTGTTGCTAATATACTATAAATGATGTATGAAGGACATGCCTAAATGTTGAATTTATAATTCCATTATGCTGTTTCAATTGTGTAAAAGCATGTTGTAACTTCCTTCAAAGTTCTTATGAATCATGTTAGCTAATTAAATTTGAGCTAATTGTGAGATGATGAACATTGGCATGACATAAATGCATCTATGCATTTACATTGGGCATGAAATGGGAAGAATTGATTTTGAAATGAAAATGGGAAGTTTTGGGAAAGAATGTATTGATGAAAGTGTTTTGATAAAACCCGGTCGCTGAGGAGTCACCAACAGGCCATAGGTTAATGTAACCTAGAGGGAACTAGGGAGATTGCCCTAGCGTGGTTGAGCTATCTGGGCCCCATAATGACGCTGCGGAGTCACCAAAGGTCAGGGACAGTAGCCAATCCTTCTCTCGGCGCTGCGGAGTCACCAAAGGGGGTTACATTAACGGTTTGGAAGTGATGGTTTGAAAATGGGGAGCGACATCGGCATGCATTGCATCCCATAGCATTCTATTGTTTATAATGAGACTTGTTGTTACGTTGTGTTATTCCGACACTATATGATCCCCATCCCTATTGTCTTATTCTTTGGTTAGATTCACGGGGACACAAGAGACGTGTCTTAAGTGTCACCTACTGAGCAATTTGCTCACCCCACATAATTAATATTTTTCAGGTTACGGTAAGGATTTGGCGGATGATAATCCACCACAGGGCTAAGGGAATGTGAAAGCATTTTTGAATGTAATTTGTGGGACTTAAACTATTCTTGTAAAGTGCATAACACAAAATGTATTATTTTTGCCCTATGTAAAACATTTGAATTTATCATGTATATGGCCATTTGGGTAATGTAATTAAATTCGTATCATATTAATTCCCGTATATTATATAATGTGTTGTAAATTAGGTTATCAACGTGGTGGTTATTATTGTAATTAAATGTTGAAATGTATCTTAGTTTATGTACATGAGTGCAGTGGCACAGTGTTTGGACAGTGGGTGAGGATAACCCAAACCAGTTGACGTGTAGCTTCCTATACGTCGATTGGTACCCTGACAGTAAGCATTTGAACGTGAATGACCCAAACCAGTCGAAACTAGTCGACGTATGGCATCCCATACGTCGACCGGTATCATGTTCCAAACCAGTCGATGTATGACTTCCCATACGTCGACCGGTATCTTGGCAGTGGGTTTTCCCATTATTCATAGCCCAAACCAGTCGACGTATAGTGTATATACGTCGACCGGTATTATTATTTTAAATTCTCAAATTACACTTTGGCATCCATTTGAAGTTGCACGTAATTATTTTATGACCCAATAAAATGTCATAATTATATTTTAACCCCCGAAAGGACTATATTACCCCGAACCTTATTTTATTTACTATGTGATACAAGTTAATGACCATTGTACCATTGAGTCTCAATTTATTGAATTGTGATAAATTACCATTTTGCCCTTTTTGGGCTTTGATATTTAAATTTAATGTGAAATGACCGTTTTACCCTCGGATGATTTTGGGTTGGGTAAAGACCCATTTAATGATCCGGATCCATGAGGATTTGGGTTGTTACATTAACAGTTTGGGAATGATGGCAGAAATGGTTTTTGGAAAAATGGGGAATGATATGCATGACATCACATCCCATTGCACGACATAATTTAGTTATGATTTGGACTGTCAATTTTGTTGCTATGTTTACCCCGGTATGGCATGATCCCGCTTCTCTATTTTTCTATTCATTGTTTGGATTCACGGAGTTACAAGAGGTATGTCTTACGCACCACCTACTGAGCAATTTTGCTCACTCCTTATTATTAATATTTTTCAGGACATGGAAAGAAGGTGGCGAACGATCATCCATCACAAGTTTAGACGGGATTGGAGATTTATATTTTGTTATTTTTGTTTTAGAATTTTAATATTTTGTAAATGTAAATCTTGACTATTCTGTAAAATTTTGGTATAATTTGTATAATATTGTAAATTATGGACTTTCGATTTCAGCCGTATTTCATGGACTGTAAATTGATGTAATTAGATTATATTTCTTGTAAAGGAATATGGAACTAGGTAGGGGACTGACACTTCCATTTTATTTATTTATTTTATTGAATGAATTGGAGGAAAGGGATTCTTTTTATATGTATATTGTTGTTTTAGAAACGTTTTATATTATTTGCGTTGTGCGTTGGGACATGATAGATTAGTTAAGGCTAAGTGAGGCTATTACATTTTTTTTTTGTGCATTTCGATAGGTTGCGGTAGGACTTTTTTTAGTAAAGGTCACGCCGATTTTTATTTTTTATTTTTAATTTTTATGACTAGTATTATTTTAGGGTCGTTCCATTGAAGCCATATTAGGTCCCAATTTGATTCCTTGACTAGTTTATTTGGGCTGAGCCATATTTACTCTACTTATTTATATAGTGTGTGTACTTTTGTGTCGTACTTTTTAATTACGGTTTTGTCCTAAGAAAACTAGTTTAGTCTTTATTTGCTGTAGGTTGCAAGAAAGCTGCATCAACGTTCCCCGAAACTCTTATATGGATAGTTTCTTTGCCAGCTTGATCACAATTGCTATATATATATATATATATATGTGGTCTATGATACAAGAGTTTCTATCACACAACGTGGTTTGTCAAGAAAGAAAATGAGTACTAACATCCTCCAATCAAAGTCATTCCAACGAATCAACTTCAACTGAATTTTCCACAACTAGAGCATTCCCTCATGACTCACCGCGTGAATTGCAAGAAAAAACAAATCTGTGTGTAGTTAATTTCTTGCAATCCAAACACTGCCATCAGCACCAGTACAGCATCTTATATCTATAAAAAGGGAAGGTGGCGGCTCTTGTTAGTTAGGTGTTTAAAAAAAATGATGAAAACATTTTGTCATCTCTTATTCTCTATCATGGCCTTGGCATCCTTGTTCTTATTTCCAGATAAAGCAGTTAGCATGAATTCGACAGCGAAAAACCATGTCAAGGGCATTATAGGAGCCATTGTTGATTTGAGTTCTCGCAAGGGTCAAGAAGCAAAAGTGGCCATGGATATGGCAATAGATGATTTCAACCACCACACCAATCAAAAATTGATTTTGCATGTAATGAACTCTCATGGAGAAACCATCCGGGCAGCTTTTGCTGGTAATTAATTATGCCCCCGCGCGCGCGCACACACACATATCAACTCTTCTCCTTTAAATTATCTTTTTTATTTGAGTGAGTTCAACTAATACAAATTAACGGCTCCGTTTGTTTGGACGTAAAATATTTTTCAAAAAATATTTTTTTATTTTCTGGTGTTTGGTTGTCGTAAAATATTTGCGAAGGAAAAAAATATTAAAATTTAACAAAAATAATTTATTCGTAAATTTTCGACAAGTTATTTTACATGTCCCGCTCGATAGACTCGACCTCAATCTCAACGTACCTTTGCCAAATACCGACAAAATAAACATAAAAAAATATTTTACCTGAAAAATAAAAATATTTTTCCAAAAAAAATATTTTACATCCAAACAAAATATCTTATGAACTTGATTTTTTATTTTGTAATATATATACACACACTATCCGAACTATTAATATCTAGACCTTGTTTATAATTTGGATCGATGTATAGAATCTCTGTGACTAACAATTGGACAAGTTGATAGTCACATTTGATAATGAAAAGTGGCTAATAGTCCAAATGATGTTATAGCATACCTAATAATTAATTTCTTCAGTTGATGTTTTACATGAACATGCAATTACTATTTGATTATAAATTTAGCCTTGTAGAATAAAAATGCATTCTAATTTCGCAACAACATTGACCTACAGCTAATGATCTTATCAACAAGGAGGTAGTGCAAGCCATTTTGGGGCCACAGACATGGGAAGAAGCATCAACAGTTGCAGAGAGTTGTAGCCTAAATTCTCATACAATTCCCATTCTTTCTCTAGCTGATGCTACTCCACCATGTGCAACGAGGCGTTGGCCCTTCCTAATTCAAGCCTCACCGAGCCATCACGCGCAAATGAAAGCTGTGGCTGCTGTTGTTCAGTCATGGGGATGGCATAGGGTCATTGTTATATTTGAGGACACTGATTCTACTGCCAATGGATTAATTCATCTCTCTGATGCCCTCCGCGAAAATGGTGCAGAAATAAGCCATTTCGTAGCGCTCTCACCTTTCAACGCGCTGTCTGATGATCTTGAGAAGCTTAAAAAAGGGCAATGTCGAGTCTTTGTGGTCCATTCTTCCTTGCCCTTGGCTCTTCGTTTATTTGAGACCGCGAAGGAGATGAAGATGATGGAAAAAGATTATGTGTGGATCACTACAGACTCCACAACAAGTCTTGTCCATTACATTAACCATTCTTCCATTTATTCCATGCTAGGGGTTGTAGGCATCAGGAGCTATTTCCCAGATCCCCGGACACATTTACATGATTTCTACCTGAGATTTCGTAAAAAGTTTGCTTTGGAGCATCCAGAAGAAGAAAATCATGAACCCGGGATTTTCGCGCTGCAGGCTTATGATGCCACTAAAGCAGTGGCTTCAGCAATTGAGGAAGGAGACAGAGAAGGCCAACATTTGTTAGAAAAATTTTCATCAAGTGACTTCAAAGGCTTAACTGGTAATGTGAAATTTGTTGAGAGAAAATTAGCCCCAGCACAAGTGTTTCAGATTGTCAATGTGATTGGAAGGAGTCATAGAGAACATGGGTTCTGGACCGACGAAAAAGGCTTCTCGGAGACTATTGATGAAAAGGCTACCTACAGTCCTTCCATGGAAAAATTGGGGCTAGTGATGTGGCCTGGGGGACCTTGGTATACTCCAAAAGGGTGGACTCTTCCAACCATGGCCAAGCCATTAAGAATAGGCGTGCCAAACGGATCCTTAACCAACCACTTTGTGAATGTTCAATATGATCCTTCTACAAATAATTACTCCTTCAATGGATTTTCAATCGAAGTGTTCAAGAAAACCGTGAAACGATTACCATACTATTTGCCATATGAGTTCATTCCATGGGACGGCAATCACACTTCTTTGGTGGAACAAGTTCATCTAAAGGTGAGATCATTCATTCATCTTGTGTTTTGTCCCTGCTCATTTTTATTTTAGATTTGATCATTTGACTTGAATTTTTTTGTTCATGAAATCAGAACTTTGATGCAGCCGTTGGAGACATAGCAATTATTTACAGCAGATACAAATATGTTGAATTCACACATCCTCATACAGAATCAGGATTGGTGATGGTAGTCCCGGTTCAGTCACAATCGAGCAATAAGACTTGGCTATTCACAAAGCCATTCACAAAATCCATGTGGGTTCTTACAGCAGTCATAAATCTCTACAATGGCTTCGTCATATGGATGATAGAGCGGAATCACTGCCCTGAGCTCAAAGGCTCAACACTGAATCAACTAGGAATCTTGCTCTGGTTTGCTTTTGCCACATCCTTCTCTTTACAAGGTAACACATCAAACATCTCGCCTTTTCACTTTAGAAGGTAAAGGAGATATCACTAGCTAATTTGTTTGGGATTTGTGCATAGGGGAAATGCTACATAGCAATTTATCAAGAATGACGACGCTGGTGTGGCTTTTTGTGATACTAATCATCTCACAGAGCTACACAGCTAGTCTGACCAGCATGCTCACTGTCCAAGGGCTTCAACCAAAGGTAGCAGATATCGAAACACTAAAGAATAGCAATGCAAAGATTGGGTACTCCACAAAATCTTTAGTGGTGAACTACTTGGTGGATGTCTTACATTTCAACCGCAATGATGTCAAGAATTATTCAACCACGGAAGGATATGCCCAAGCCCTCAGAACTGGAGAAATTGCAGCAGCTTTTCTTGAAGTCCCTGCGGCCAAGTTATTCATGGCCAAATATTGCAAGAGCTTCATCATGGCAGGACCAACTTTCAGAGTCGGAGGATATGGATTTGTAATTTTTTTTCTCCCCTTTCTTCGTTCAATTAAGTTATCTGCATTATAATTTCTATAAACATATAGAAATAGCTAGTTTAAACGGATAAAGACCTAAACTAGTTAGGTCATGCCTAAGTTTCTCCGGAATTTCAAGTAAACGTGTACATACCCACAATATTACTCCTAACAGGGCTTGAACACTCAACCTCCACTTTTGGGAGGGGAGATGATACCATATGGAGTTATCTGCTTAGTATAAAAGACTATCAAAGGTACCTTGAATAAGGTAATTTTTCATTCAAAGTTTCTAACTTCATACATTAAAACACTCTCTTGACTTCCAATGTATTATGAATAAGGTCATTTTTAACTCATTTTCTTTCAGAGTTTCTGACTTTATACGTTAAACCACTCATGTGACTTCAAAGGTACCTTGAATAAAAGTTCAAAATGGGGATGGGGTTTGAGGGTTATTTTAGAATCGAATTGCACACAACATCATAGGAAAATAGTACATAAAACAACTAATGAAGTTCAAAACGATTCTTGCTTCAGGCATTTCCCAAGGGGACTCTTATGCTTCCTGACATGGATGAGGCACTGCTGAATGTGTCTGAAAGCGGCGTGCTGAGAGAATTAGAGAACAGCTTGACTGCAGCAGAGAAGTGTGTGGAAGTAGAATGGGATAACAAAAATGTGAGCCTAAGTCCCAGCACCTTTTTGGTACTTTTCATCCTCACAGGAAGCATATCAACAGTTGCTCTAGCCATTTTTGTCCTTCGCGCCAAATGGGAAACCGGCAAGATCATGTTTAAACACACAACCATTAGGATGTTAATACTGGCTGTAAAGATCCAGTTGGGGCATCAGAAGAGTCGATTCTCGAGAAGAGTTAGTGATATTGAGTGCCCTAGAAATCCCCCAAACACTTGAAACTCATGGACAGGTCTGGAAATTCAAGGAAATAGTTATTAACCACATACATCCATGTCTTTATTAATCTGATATGATAGATGAGATTAGAAATTGTATGGATTTTACAAATAACTCTTCAAGTGAATGACTTGTGAAAGAGAGGCTCTTAAAATCTTGCAACTTCTTGTAAAAATTACTGTAGTCTAAGCATAATTAGGTAAAAGAGACACACTGATTGAACCTTGTAGACCAAGTGATTATGTAGCATATATACCAAATAATATCCAAAAATTCACTTTACAGTTTATTAGTCTGTCAATTATATACTGCATTAAACTGGAATCTTTTCAATAAATGTTGAATAATTACAATTTCTTTTTCTTTTCTTTTTTTTCGTTTTTTTCCGGCGAACAAAGGATCATAAGTTTCACATTTTTTGTTGTTGAATAAAGGAGGTTGTGTCAAAGCTAGTATTACTCTTTTTCCTTATAAGTCCCAATAATTATCAACAAAATCTAATGTAATGTTAATGTGATTTTTATATATATATGTATACTATTGGTGGGACCCACTCCTATTATTTACTACGACACGTGACAAAGGGTTATACAGACCCAATTTTTTTGTTTTCCAATCAGCGTTCTCTCTCTCTCTCTCTCTCGGCCAGTGTTCTGTCTCTCGCTGTCTTTTTCTTTTTCTTTTTCCTTTGCAACTTCAACCTCTGATTAATTCATCATTTCTTAGTAATTTTAAGTGCCGTTTGCGGCAAAATGGAGAGCACGACAAGCTCTACACGTGTGTACCAGCAATTTCAGTTTTGAGCAACTTAAGGAGTCCGAAAATCTTGACCCATTTTGATAGTTTGTGGTGCAAATTGGGGGGTTTTTGCATAAAATAGAGGTAGGGGTCTCTAATTCCTACAATCTTGTTCCTTTGTGAATTAATTGTTCTTGATTAGTATCCTAGCATGCTAAATTGTGATGATTGTTCCTTTGTGAATTAATTTTTCTTGATTAGTATCCTATTAGTATTCTAGCATGCTATATTGTGATAATTGTTCCTTAAAGTGACTTGATTGTATATATGAAATATGTGAGAAGGTGTATTTAATTGAATTATAATGTGTATTTAATTAAATTGTATGAAAATAATAATAATAAAATGAAATAAAATAAAATAAACATGCTTAATGTGTTAGTTTTTCATGCCAATTAATTTGTTAGAAATTTATGTGAAAGCTTGTTAATTGTGTGTTAAAAATTCTCTCTATTTCCATATATGCACATAAGCATTGGGCATAAAAAAAAAGGGAAAGTGTTTTGAAATGAAATTGAAAGGGGATTTTGGGGAGAATTTGATAAAATGGTTTTTTGAGAAAAACCCTATGAAGTTTCCCAATTTTCAGCATTTTCAATTTTTCTGGAATTTTGTTGCCGCAAGGGCATTTATGTCTTTTCACTTCTTTTGTACGGAATTTTAGTTGGGTCCACTTGCATTTCACACATTTTATTTTATGTGAATTAAGTGGTATTTACTTGGTGGTGCATGTATTTAATATATGGTGTAATATTAATGTAACGACCCAGCTCCTCATGGATCCGGATCATTAAACGGGTCCTTTCCCAACCCAAAATCATCCGAGGGTAATACGGTAATTTCACGTTAAATTTAAATATCATGGTCCAAAAAGGACAAAATGGTAAATTGCCACAATTCAATAATTTGAGACTCAAAGGGTATAATGGTCATTAACTTGGATCACATAATAAATAAAATAAAGTTCGGGGCAATATAGTCCTTTCGGTGGTTAAAATATAATTATTACACTTTATTGGGCTATAAAATAAGTACGTGTAACATTTATTGGGTGCCAAAGTGTAATTTGGGAGTTTAATTAAAAGGCAGAAATCGGTCGACGTATGTACACTATACGTCGACTGATTTGGGTTATGAACAGTGGAAATACCCACTGCCGAGATACCGGTCGACGTATGGGGAGCCATACGTCGACTAGTTTGGGACGTGATGCCGGTTAAACGTATGGGAAGCCATACGTCGACTGGTTTGGGTTATGTGCAACAACAACTCATTGTGAAGATACCGGTCGACGCATGGGAAGCCACACGTCGACCGGTTCTAGAAAATTTTCACTTCCACAATTCGGGTTTTAGGGACAGTCGAAACTGTCCCTAAAAGTACCAAATCCGTCCCTAAAAGTCAGTTTGGACCGTCACTAAAAGTTGCGTGCCAAAAGAGCTTTAGGGACGGTCAAAGTTGACCGTCCCTAATACTTTTGACCTTTAGGGACAGTCCAACCTGTCCCAAATAACACCGTCCCTAAAACTTTTTAGGGACGGCCAAGACTGTCACTAATAAGGTACGAATTAGGGACAGTTTAAATGACTGTCCCCAAAAACTAGAGTATTAGGGACAGACAGACCATCCCTAATACATAATTTTTCAATTATAATTATTGTATTAGGGACGGACAGACCGTCCCTAATAGATTATTTTAATTATATATTTTAATATATTATTGTATTAGGGACGATCAGACCGTCCTTAATACATTATTTTTAATTATATATTTTAATATATATTGTATTAGGGACGGCCACACCGTCCCTAATATATTATTTTAATTATATATTTTAATATATATTGTATTAGGGACGGTCAGGACCGTCCCTAATACATTATTTTTAATTATATATTTTCATATATTGTATTAGGGACGGTCAGACCGTCCCTAATAGATTAATTTAATTATATATTTTAATATATTATTGTATTAGGGACGGTCAGGACCGTCCCTAATACATTATTTTAATTATATATTTTAATATATTAATGTATTAGGGACGGTCAGACCGTCCCTAATACATTAATTAAATTATATATTTTAATATATTAATGTATTAGGGACGGTCAGACCGTCCCTAATACATTAATTTAATTGTATATTTTAATATATTATTGTATTAGGGACAGTCAGGACCGTCCCTAATACATTATTTGAATTATATATTTTAATATATTAATGTATTAGGGACGGTCAGGACCGTCCCTAATACATTAATTTTAATTATATATTTTAATATATTATTGTATTAGGGACGGTCAGGACCGTCCCTAATACATTATTTTTAATTATAATTATTATATTAAACCGTCTATATATATATATATTGTATGCTTAATTTGTGAATTTAACCATTCCGGATACATACATACAAAACATATACAAAATAGATCCACAATAACATTCAAAAAAATATTACTATCCATAGAATAAAATCAATCCACAATATATATATTCAAGATCCATAAAATATAAAATCTCTAGTTTTCTAAACAAAAACTAAAACCATGTGGTAGCACAAAAAATTATTCCATCCTCTTCAAGATCCATTATTCATTCTGTTGGTGGTTGTGGTGGTGCTTGCTGGTGAGACCATGTTGGTGGCGGCAGCTGATATTGCCATCTTGTTGTTGGTGGCGGCTGCTGAAAATACGAGTCTGCTGGAGGTGGCGGTGGTTGTTGATGCCAATTTGGTGCGGTTTGCTGCTGTTGGGAATCTGATGGAGACTGTTGCTGGTGGAACCATGGTGGCGACTGCTGCTGCTGTTGGAATTGGAGGAACCATGGTGGCGGCTGCTGCTGCTGCTGCTGATATTGGAGGAACCATGGTGGCGGCTGTTGTTGGTACTGCTCAAGCATCTTCTCAAGTTTTTCTATTTTTTCCGCCATTTGTACACTTCTTTCTTCAGCAATTTCGGCCCTTTTCCTAGAAGCCTCATCATATGATGAAGAGGCACGCTGACGCTTTGGAGCCACGAAACCATGTCCGAATCCACGGCAATATCCCTTCCTTATGCCTAGTTGGTTTTGTACTATCTCAACATCATTTATGGATGGACTCGTACCATCAGAATTTTGAGAATTTTGTGCAGCCTTTTCTTTCATTGCATCCTGCAAAATATTTAAGTTCGCTATCAAATTAAAAAAATATGGCATAGGAATAAATCAAGTAATAACAGAAAATGTAATCACACATGCACCAGCACATAAAAATAGAGAGATTAAAGTGATTCGGTTTATAACATGCGCACATACAGTAAACAATGGCATTTCTTGTATGCCATTTCTTGTATGACATGCTGTTTCTCAACAAATAGAAAAAAAATTTGTACATTTAAATAAATTTAAGGCTCACTACTGTCGAAATTATTGTTAGAAACTTTGTGGGTAGTTGGTGCACCAGAAAAATATTAGCAAACAAACCATGGGTTTGACAGAGCTAATTTTTTCACAAAAACTCTCCATTATCATTATAATGTGGTCTGATACGAGTTTAACACACAAAAAGTATCCATCACTGCAAAATGGTTGATCAAATCATTAAGGTTCTGGTATTTTAATAGATTAGAATGGAGCCAAAACGCAAGGCACTTTCTGTAACTTGCAACTCTAAGGCACTTTCTCAAACATGGTAAATGGCTGCCCATGTTGTCCCCGTTGCAAGTTGTGCGATTCCATCACCCACATAGCCAAATTTGATATGAAAAAGGAGTGATGCATTTTGACATTTAGTAGAAACCAACTATCTCTCCAAAATCCTAATGGTGGGCTCTGGGGCCACAGTGAAGTTCCAATTTTGTTTTTCCAGTCTTTTTGTGCTCTGGAGTTGTTTGGTAAAATAAAAGAATAAGCATAATGTTTTATATTAGCATAACCAAAAAAAAAAAAAAAAAAGAAGGTATTTGAATGAGTGCATTTGGGAGTCCATGTATTGACCTTATAAATCTGAAAAAGATGAACATCAACCTATATATATATTTCTAATAAGCTAAAAAAAGCTTTTAGCTCGTCATATGAATATATATATAAAAGCTAAAAAAAGCTTTTAGCTCGTCATATATATATATATATATATATATATATATATATATATATATATATATATATACACGTTAATTGAATAATAAACTTAGAATCTCCTATCACTATTAATGATAATAAAGTCAATCATGCAAACACAATATGGTTGGAGACATACGACCTATAAGCTCCAAGAGTCACCAAAATAATTCATCTTTTCTTTAACATTCCTACAAATGGGATTTTATGTTTTTGGTGGATTTTCAAAGTTACAGCCACCCAAACATAATAAAAGAGTACGGATAATTATATATTATATATATGTGCAACCTCACATAAAGCTTATGACAGTAAAGTGCTTGCTTCATGGAAAATCACTTCTCACTTTCTCTACATATATATTTAGATAATCATAAAACATAAAAGTGTGTATATATATATATATGTAACAACCACACATAAACCTTATGCATAAAAGGGTTGCTTCATGGAAAATCACCTCACTTTCTCCACACCCCCATACACAAACAGACAGACAGACAGATATATTCATATATATATATAAATGGGTCACTACTTGTTAGAGCAAAGTGAGGCTTCCATTTACAAGCTATTCCATTCTCTCTCTTCTCTCTCCTGCTATAGGTATAATTTTCAGTCACAACCAAGATTGACGAAACCCTAATTAAAATTAATCTTTACTCTAAACAAGTTTTAATTCAAGAAACCCCAATTAATGGACTGATTCATTAATTTTCATGATACATCCAAAGATCTCATGTATGTATTTAGTAGAAGTGGAAATTTTAAAGAATGTGAGTCAAGACAGAGATGGTGAGGGGTTTCTAGACTTGAAGTATCTTGGAGTTATGGAATGTAAGGGGATAGAACATTTATTTGGCATGAGTTGTTATTAAATCTCCAGATTTATACCCTAGATATAAGACACATATTTGAACTATGCAAAACAGATAAATTACAAATCCAACACAATCAATCAATGTGGACAATATTATAAGATCCAAATTTCATAATCTAACATGGTAGCTTATAGTTAACTTACAAAATTCCTCTTAGCTTTCTCATGTGCCCATCCACCTTGTTCCTTAAAATGTGTGTCCTTGTACAAACGAATAGCAGGATCCTCTTCCCTTTCACCGTCCCCATTTTCTTGGCTCTGCCTTTCTTTGAGTTTGACCTATAGTACAAAGTAATAGTGACTATTAGACAAATATATGGTTTAGAACGTAGAATATAAAATAAAAAATTTATAATTATTGTTTCGTATATTACGCACATAATCATCGTAACGTCTGACGAAGGACATTGATCCAGAATAATGTGGAACCTCATTCTTGGAACGATTTTCTTTGTTTTTTGCACTTATTTCCTAAGTAGTAATTCAAACAATATTACAAGTTAGGAAACCTAAATAACTAGTGAATGAAGTTATTATATTAAATAGTAAAAACAAGTAGTTAAGAAATTGAACCTGAAATTTAGGTGACATCCACGTATCACACAATTTTTCCCAAACAGCATTACCAATACCATTGTAAGGATGGCAGCGTGCATTCTCAATCGGAAGATGCTCTTCAAAATGACACTTCAATTTATATCTATATTTCCTCAACGCGCTGGAAATTCCCATATTTACTCGCTTAAAATCAATGTCATTTGCGTATGCATCCACTCCAAAGACCTCCTTTATAATGTAAAATTAAAGTAAGCTATAATTTGTAACCAATTGGACCAGTAATCTCTGATTTTTTTTTAACCAAAACAAGCATTAAATGATGGTTATCATTACCTTCAAATGGTCATAGCAGACCTCTTTCTCAAAATCTGGAACATCCCTCCACGTTTTATACTTTAGAAGGGCTTCGGTATCTCGTGTATTAATGCCAACCTCAGCCGTCCATAATTTGTTATTTAAACCAACAGGTTTAATATAACCCTCTCCAAACTCAACTGGAACTGGCCAATTGTTTTCATTAATTTTGTGCAAGGCTTCATTTTTTGCTCTTCCACGCCCTTTTCGTATCGGACCTGAAAAAAAAATTTATCATCTTAATTAAAGCGTAGGCATTTTACAAAAGAACTTATGGTTAATCAATGATGAAGCATAATTACCTCCACTTGGTTGTGGCCCTGTCTGCTCATTACTACCATCACCTTCCATTCTTTCATTTGTTGAATTCCTATCTTCACCTAATCCACTTGGTTGTGTAGGAGGTGAACTTGTAGATGGTTGCTCAGTTTCAGCCCTGCGGGACCTTAAAACTCTACGCATCGGTTCCTCGGAGGTGTCCATAATTTAGTTTACAAGCTGATATGAAGAATCAAGTGAAATTAAATCAAAATAAACAAGCATATGCAAAATATATTCTGAGTCATCATTTCATATTTACATAATTCCATTGAATAAAAAATTCAATAATTAGAGGCAATATAACTGAATAGATCACATTAAATATAATCATAAACCCAAAAAAAAAAAGTAAATGCTCAAATATAACAATTAATTTAGTCAACCAAATCAAAGCTGCAAATTAATGAAGCACAGAAACAATACTTAAAGAGAAATTTAAACAAAAAGTAACTCAAAAGATAAAGCTCGGTAATATAATTCAGCTGGTCACTTAAAATATTAATCATAAAACAATAAAATGAGGTACATGCTCAAGAATAAAAAGCTTCACATGTCATCCATATCAGTATCATCTTCAGACATTAATTCTGGTTCCTCATCTGAACTATATTGAATGTCAAGAGCTTCATCATTCTCAACATCCCAAAAGTCATCATTAATGGCTGCTTCACCCCTACATTTTTGAATCATTTCAGCATCAAGAGTTTCACCCTCCAAATCGTCCCTGTTCAAAGGGAATGGATCCATGTCCAAGTCCGCTTCAACAACTCCATCCACGATGCTTGGTTCGCTCTCTTGGTATGCTGTAGTGTTGAGCATTTCATCATATACTCCTGTTTCACCCTCTTTTTCAGGTACATCAAACGAGCTTCTACTTGTTATATCTTGAACTACCTCCCACGTCCCTTGTAATTTATTGTCTTTGACATAGAAGCATTGCAATGCTTGATTTGCTAACACAAACGGCTGATTTTTGTACGCTCTACTGGCTACATTTACACTTGTGAAATAGGTATCTTTATGTACACCGGTACCAATCCTAACATCGAACCAATCACATTTGAAAAGAAAAATTTTTCTACCCAGAGGATATCTTAACTCAATGATATCTGTTAGGGCACCATAGTAATCTTGGTCTTCTCCTTTCACTAACACGCCACTATTCTATGTTCGTCGATTTTGCTCCCTTTCCTTAGTATGGAACCTAATCCCATTTACAATACACGCGGAATATCGACTTACTAGACATTGAGGTCCACACGCTAATGAATACAGATCATCACAAGTTGTTTCCTTTTGATGATGACGCATTTCCTTTATCTATTAAAAGAAGTGTAGTGTTAAATAAATGAATGACAGTTCATTTTAATTAAATTAACGAATTTTATTTAATTAAGTACAATAGGTGCATAATGGACTTACTTTTGTTTCGAACCACCTCGAATATTCTTTAGCATGTCTTTGAGAAACATTGCGCGGATTTTCTCTCTCAAGTTCTACCTTGTGTTTTCTAAACAATTACATTATGTTAATGATACAATTGTATACATGTATTAAGAAATACACTATATATTCATAGAAACTGACAAGATATGACATGCAATGAGTTACTTACTCTTCATATGACAAAACATCTTCACAATTCTGTAAAACGTACAATCGAGCCATCTCTATGTCCGCACGGGGCAATATGTCCAAACTTTGTGCTCCTATCGGTCGAACTACTTGCTTTAGATCATAAAATGTGGACCAATTATTGTTGTAGTTCCCCTCACTATTTCTTTCTTCTCTATTGAACCTTGTCTCAATCCCTCCAAGAAATTTTGAACAAAATGTGAGGCACTCATCGTCCACGTAAGCTTCCGCAATGGACCCTTCCGGACGTGCTTTGTTGCGGACGTACAATTTGAGAGTATGCAAAAATCTACATAACCGTTAATCAAACCAATAATATTTAATAACAAACTAATAAAACTTGTTAAAAAAAAATGTTGGTTTACTAAAAATATACAGCACCTTTCAATCGGGTACATCCATCGATATTGTGCAGGGCCTGCGATGATGGCTTCACGCGGCAAATGCAGAGCCAAGTGCACCATAATGTCAAAAAATGACGGAGGAAATATCATCTCTAACTTACTTAGTATAACAACAATGTCCCTTTCCATTGCCTCTAAGACATCCACTTTGACAGTTCGACAACACAATTCCTTGAAGAATAAACCAAGCTCAGCTATTGTGTTACAAATATCTGAATTTAAGAATCCTCGTATAGCAATAGGGAGGAGACGTTGTAAGAGAACGTGTGAATCATGACTTTTCAATCCAGATATCTTACAATTATTAACATTCACACACCGACTTATGTTCGATGCATAGCCATCTGGAAACTTAACTGATTTTAGCCATTCACATAGTTGTCTTTTATTATTCTTTGACAATGTGTAGCGCGCTTGTGGCATCTCAAATTTTTCACCATTACGTCTCAGGTGGAGTTCTTTTCTAATCCCCATTGCTTCTAAATCCAACCGACTTTTGAATGTGTCCTTAGTTTTCCCTTCAATGTCCAATAATGTCCCCAACACACTATCGCATATATTTTTCTCTATATGCATAACATCCAGGTTGTGCCGCAACAAAATGGTCTTCCAGTAAGGTAGTTCAAAGAAAATACTCTTCTTCGTCCAGTTAAGTTCAAATTCCTCACGAGTTCGCTTCTTTTTATTTGGCCCCTTTCCGAAACTAACCTCGGGTATGAGGTTAAGTTGTTCTAGAATATCATCACCCGTCAACTGCTTTGGTGGCCTTTTGTCTTCACTTTTGCCATTAAATTGCTTGTGATGGTTTCTGAAAATGTGATCTAACGATAAAAACATACGACTTCCCAAGTAGCATATCTTACGTCCGTGTTTCAAAAAACAAGAACATGTTTCTTTGTTACAAATCGGACATGCTAGATAACCCTTTGTCATCCATCCAGATACCATCGCATAGGCGGGAAAATCACTAATGGTCCAAATCATTGCCGCATGCATTTTAAAGTTACATTTACTGTACGCGTCATATGTCATCACACCATCCCGCCACAATTCTTTTAACTCTTCAACCAAAGGTTGCATGTACACATCAATATCATTACCAGGCGATGTTGGACCAGGAATAAGCAACGACATAAATATATATGGCTCCTTCATACATATCCAAGGTGGCAAATTGTAAGGCACAATTATCACAGGCCACATACTATACGCATTGCTCATATTTCCAAATGGATTGAATCCATCAGTTGCTAATCCAACACGAACATTACGAGGATCAGCAGCAAACCAACTATGCTTACTATCAAAATCTTCCCAAGCTTTTGAATCAGCTGGATGTCTTAACTCATTTGTCTCCTTCACACGTTTCTCCTTATGCCACCGCATATCTAAGGCTGTATCCTTTGACATAAACAACCGTTGAAGTCTTGATTTCAATGGGAAGTGCCAGAGAACCTTTTGAGGGATTTTCTTACCCTTACCTTCGTGAGGTTTATACCTCGATTCACCACATTGTGGACAATTTTCTTTACTTGCGTTTTCCCTCCAAAATAGAACACAATCATGTTTACATGCATGTATACAATCATATCCGAGACCCAAGTCTCGTAACAAGCTTTTAGTCTCGTAATGAGACTTTGGTAACACATTATTATCGGGAAGCATATCCTTAAATGCATCAAGCATCATGTCAAATGATTTGTTGCTCATTCGGCTTGTAACCTTCACATGGAACAACTTTAATATCGCTGACAACTTAGAGTATTTTTCACAACCTGGCCACAATTCACATTGTGCATCATTTAACAATCTATCAAAGCTTCCTCCTCCAACATCAACTTCAGGCGAATCTTCTTGTTGTGGTGCATTAGTGAAGTTTCCCATTTGTATGTTATCCAACAATTCAAACACATTATCTACATTTCCATCTTCATCGTGGACATTTTCCCTACTGACATTAGCATCAATATTAACATTATTGTTGCTTTGACGAGCCTCCCCGTGATATATCCAATTGGTATACCCCTTGTCCATCCCATTTCTCAAGAGATGCTGCTTAACTTCTTCAATTTGATGATAAGTCCTATTTTTGCAACGACGACATGGACATCGGGACCTATCGTCTACTTCTGCATGACGCCTAGCCACATCAATGAAGTCATGTATGCCATCAAAATACTTTACACTTCCCCTAGTGTGATGATGAATCCAAGACTTATCCATGTAACTGCTTAAATGTACACAAAAAAAATAAAAAAAAATAAAAAAAATAGAAAAAAAAGAACATATATCCATCAAGAGTTAATAAAGGATATATATATATATATATGTGTGTGTGTGTGTGTGTGTGTATGTATATAAGTGTGTGGAGCCCATCATGGAAGGAACAATGAATGAGTGTAAGAACCGTCTTATCATTTCTTTAAAAAAGAACCAAAAAAAAAAAAAAAAAAAGAGTGAAATACAGTTAAAGAAAATTGAAAGACATAGTAATTAAGAAATGGAGTTTCTTCATACTCTGTTGGTTCACTGCCATGGTCACATGGCATTAGTATTATAGACACTGGTAGGTATAATTTCCTAGATCTATCTTCTGACCCAATGAAAAGAGGATGATAGAGGAAGATTTAGATGCACTTTAGATGTTTCAGGTGTATGCAGGTTGTATAGACATAGATGTCTTTCTGGATGTTCATGAAATTGGGGAACCCTTAACTCTAATTAGAGATGAGGGTGTTAAAGAAATGGAGGTGTAGATCTTGGAAGTTGTGTAGATGATAAGGGTTTCCAGAATGGGAGCGCACATAATAGAATTTCCCTGCAATTCTATTGGTTTTTTTGGTAATTGAAATTTGTTAAAGTATTTTTTCGCTGTATTTTTATTTTTATTTGGTTAACTGTTTCATTATTAATTTGAGTTCATGTAATGATGGTATTGGATAACATTAGATGGATATAAAATGAGTGATGGAATGGAGATTTAAATCTTTATTCAATATGAATATATGATTGATTCTATTCTAGGTTGTATAACAGTGGAAAAGAGTAATCATGTCATTTTTTGTTTTGTTTTTACTTCTTCAGTTTCAATGACATCTTCTCTGGCAACCTCTCCTAATATTTCTGAGAAATTAATGGTCATTTGAAGGCTTGGGATGAAAAGAAGGTCGAGTAACTCCATCACAGAAATGTTTCCTTCCTTTCCTTGTCGGCATGCCAAACTTGTAAATTTTGATTCTACTTATTCCCCATTAAATATTTAGTCTTATTTATATTGTATCTTTTTTGGAGGCTTGAGAAGGGATTCATCAGCTCCAAATATTCAAATTTGGGGCAGTAGTTAGCAAATTGTTTATAGCCTTCTCACCATGGCTTTGGGTAAGTCTTAAGATAATTAATTTCTAATTTGTTTATGGTATACTGTAGACAAATACGGTTTTGGTTTACTGTAGTCAGTCTAATTTGTTTAATTCAAAACTTGTTAAACAAGGGGCGAAAAAGACTTCTACCATTGCACTACAAACTGACTTAAAAGCTTCTACAACATTGCAAGATTACAATTCAAACAATGGAAAAAAATTGTCCAGTAAATAGGAGAACACCAACAGCTAAAAACTAAGAGAAGCAATTTTAATGACTAGTGCTGTTATTTTAACCAAAATCTGGAGTAAATAGGAGAAGAGCAGAAGCAAAATAATAATAATAATAATAATAATATAAAGGACAGCAACTTCTTATTCTTCTGCAAACGCTAGCCCGGTCCAATTTAGTTTTATCTCTCCCTGTTTAAGCTATGTTTTTCTTCCTATCTCCCTGCTCAATCTCTTGAACTAGGCACATCGTCAAAATCAGAAAATATGGTTGTTGAAACAGAGTTTGTTGAAAATTTGTAGTGATAAATCCTATTTAAACTCCATTAATCCAACCATAAAATCAGAAAGAAAGAAAAAAAAATTAATAGCTCAGTTAAAATTTGGTGAAACATGACCAAGAAATCTGAAACTTAAAAGCTCTTGGGTTGATCAAAGCTGGCCCAAGTTTTTAAAAATTCAGTTTTCAAATTTGGTCCAAATGTGAATGACTAATTTAAGCCAAAGATAAAATTGGCTTTTGAATTCCAAAATAAAACCCTTTGTGACGGGTAATCTACATAATGTTATTAATCATTGCAACGAAAAAATAAATTATCTTTCTGCGAATTGTAATTAAACAATCAACCATATAACGAAATTTTCAAAATAAAAATCCAATTCTGCCAGCCACGAAAACAAACTTGAAGATAAAATCATTTGTTTTTCCTTTATTTCAATTTCTCATTTTCAAACTGTGGGGGCATGAGCAATAAAACTTTTCAGCTCAATCACTTTCTCTGTTTTTACTTTCCCAATCTCAATGTAAGAACAAACAGAAAGCCTATTTCAACTATATCTCAAGAAATATATAAGGAACACATAACAAAATATATAAGGAACACATCACAGAATATATAAGGGTTTAGATTACCTCCTGATTCTGATAGCTGGCCTCCTCCAAGCCCGAGATTCTCTTCGAAACACCTAAGAATCACTTCTGCAAACCTGATCATCACAAGGAAAGAAGTCATCAAACAAAAGATAGAGCAAGGATAGAAGCAACATGCTGCAACTAATTAATGTGGCATTTGGATGTTCATGAAAACTAAGGATGCTTGATTGTTTCTGGCCAACATAGTTCAAAAAAGATTTTCTTCCTACCTGAACTCACAGTTGTAAAAATGTGGGGAGAACTAGTATGACAAGCAATGACAATACAGCATGCGAAAATTTTATTCTGCTTAAAGTCATACCACCTAGCATTACAGAGTCATTCTGAGTCCTTGAAGGACCGAATACTATCTTCATCTTCCATCCTTGCTTGCTTAATTTTAGAAGTTACACTAATAAATATGCAAAACAAACGAGCACAGACCTAACCTAGAAAGATAACTATACTACATCAAGTCTGCTTCAACCTAATCTCTTCTTCTTCTTTTTCACGATAAAAAATGGATGTTATAAACTAAATAGATGTAACAGGATGGGAAGTCTTCGCGGTCTAACTCAAAAGCTTAAGTTAATTAATGGTGTTAACAATACTCAATTCATTTATCCCAGTTCACCATACCTATGGGGGATAGTACACCCGAATACCTTTGGGTCAGACACTTAGTGTGATACCAGATTAAGGACAGAATCTGATTTTGATGCCAATTATAACGAGTCTGGTGTTTCGCAGTCTGACTCAAAAATTTGAGTCATTAGGTGGTGCTAATAATACATAACTCATTTATACCCATTAATATAATATGGAACACTTAACACTAGTCTACCACATTTGCATGACATTAACAACTTTAAATGCTAAGACTTCAGACAAACACTATTACAATGTTATAGTAAATATTTATTTTTTAATTTGACAAAAAGATTACACACCTATTTATCTTCACGGTCTAGATTAAAGTCCCCAAATGGACACATTGATGTGTAAGTGTATTTTTCTTCTCAATAAAATAAATGTTATATAACAGAATATTCAATGGTGTTCACAATCTAATACAGGGTAATTTTTTTTTTTTTTTTTTTTTTTTTTTTTGGGGCAAGGTAAATAGAATTGAATTAAAAAGATGGGAACTACTATACAACCATTTAATGACTTCCATTGTGTTGACGATGCCACATTTCCTTGGGGGGGTTGGGTTAGATGAGGAAACTTGGGTGAGTATTGGTCAAAACCACTAGGACTAAAAAGGCTCAAACCCATTACAGCTGGATGTTCACATCCCAAATAATTTTATTATTATATTCATGTATATAACACATGCAATTGCCAACTGCCGACACACCACTGTGTATCCTTACGCTTAAATATATATTTTTGATGTGTTTGGGAGTATAAGATTGAAGTTTTGGAATTAAAATTAATAAAATTAGAGAAAAGTAATAAAAAAATTTAATCAAATATTTTTTTTCAATTTTATCAATTTCATACTTCCAACCACAGCCAACATTAAGTTCAAATTCTAAATACTTAAAAAGAAAAAGAAAAAAACGAAATCATCAACTAAGAAAAAGAGAGAAAAAAAAAAAATAGATATGTGCCGTCATTCAGCTTACTCTCTCAGTGAAAGTATGTAAAATCAAAGAAGAAATTTGACAATCAAAGAAGAATTAAAATAGATAATATCATGGTTTTCCAATTTCACATATCTTAATCCTATATTCCTCCGAGCCCTTTATCTAATCCTTATCCTAAACTAGTACTAGTATAAAATTGAGCAATAAGTGGAATGGGTCATATAAGCCATTTACAAAAAAAAAACCTACTGGACTCAAAATTCAAGAATAATAGCAACATATTAATAAAATGTTATCATGTGGATTGTCATACATTTTAATTTCTTATTGAATTCAAATGAAATGATTTTGAACATATAAAATTGGGTGTTAATACTATTATAATTTGCAATTGCAATATCAGTTACATTAATAATTGTAATTACAGTATTATAGATTCGGACAAATATCAATATAAATAGACCGACTTATAAAAATATATAACGATACATCGACCGATACAATGAATCATAAATATATCTAATAATTTAAGTTTTTAATCGAATTGTAAATCACCTCGTGAGATGCTCCCACAGCTGACAAGATTAAATAAGAATCGACATTCTAGAAACCTAGAGTGTAAGGTATTAGGTGCATCATGCATGGAAGTTCTTGTTAGGATTGGGAAAAAAATGGAGGGTGTAATGACTAAAAGAGATACAAAATCAGAGCTTCTAAAGACAGTCGCGTGGGTTGGTCAACATTTTAACCACTCCTGGTAAATCTCGATCTGCCCATAATTAATAAACCATGAGCACTCACCATATATATATATATATATATATATACTATCACATAGTCCCCACATGCATAATATATACCCTAGTTTTGAACGTCAAATCAAATGATCTTAATCATCCGATATAAGAAGACCAATTGACAGGATTAACCTTATTGGCCTAACAGATGAATTCGGCAAATCATACCATGCAGACAAGCTTAATTTTATTATCAACCTAAATAATGTGAAGTTGTCCGAATTTTATTTCGTCTGAGATGTAAATGGTTTTATTTAATATATATATATATATATATATATATTGTTTTTTTTTTTTTTATCAATTTTGTTTAATAAGTCTAATCATGAAT